GGCATACCTCCTAAGGGAGCACGGCTGCGGCCTGGGCCAGCTCCCACGGGGGTGGGGAGGTAGTGCCACCCAGCTCTGCTCCTGGCCCTGGTTGCTGGCCCTGGCTGCCGTTCCTGCGCCTGGGGCTCCTCTGCTCCCAGCCCCACTCCCTGGCTGCTGGCTCCGCTCCTGGCCCCACCCCCAGCAGAGGGCCCAGCCTCAGCTCCCTTATCCCTGTCTGTGCTCCCTCCCCCCCACCCCCCTCGGGAGCCACGGCCCCACTCCCGGCTCCGGGAGGGGGATGCTGACAGGGATTGCGGGGGAGGTGAGGTTTGGGAACCACTGCACTATGTTCTTGAATGAACTCACACAGATATATGATAAAAGACAAAAACACTCCATCACCATGAGCAACGCTTTTCACAAAGCGCCATAGGTGATTGTTCTATATTCATCCTCAGAGGAAACCTGCACAACACCTTCAAAAGGCGTGTCTGGGAACTTAAATTCATAATTCTGCTAGACACCAAAAACCAGGGACACTGGTTTTATGGCTCATTACAACTATTTGTAGTGCACTACACTGCCTCCTTTCCTTAATTTCCCACTTCATATCCCTTATGCATGACAATCTAACCCTCATCTGCCCACTTCATTTCAAGTGACTGCCTACAATGTGCATTACCCTTTCTGATTAACAATCTGTCGCAACTAGAATTTAGCTCAGATGCTCTGATTTCCCTCCCCAGACCTGAAGAAGAGCTCTGTGTAGCTTGAAAGCTTGTACCTTCCACCGGCAGAAGTTGGTCCAATAAAAGCTCTTATTACCTCACCTACCTTCTCTCTGTAAGTTGCAAAAGTCACTCCAAGAAGATTACTATGTGCATTGCCATCTTTCTGCTTGGCTGTGTAAGACAAATGGTCATATAACTGTGTCCCAGGGGAATTTTGTACTGAAACAAACTTCGAAGTGGATTAAAATATTTGGTTTGTCCAGGACAAAGCAAATAGAATACACACTGCAGGGGAATAATGTAATCAGTGTGATGGTTTTCCACCTTACTGACAATGAAAGGGTTAAAAAATATCAATGAATGCATCTATTTAACATCGTACATTCTGGCATTTTTTCTTGCATTTTGCTATCACAGTATTTGAAGAAACAGATTTTGTTTGCTCACACTTGTCTCTTTTAAAATTCATATATCAGCAGTAAAAGCTATTTTTTCTGTAACAGCTTACACTTAGTTCCCAATGGAGACAGAAGCCTAATCATTCCATTGCTTTGGATTATAATATGAAGCTTAATTCTTTTTTAAATCTAGAGACTTTTAGTGCCCCAGACGCCAGAGATTGAAACCAATTTATATGCTGCAATAATAGTCGTTTAGCAATCTGTACAAGTTCTTTACAATAGAAAAGGAATGTAGTTTGTGAACATTAGATCCCCTACCTATCATTTGAGGGCATATGGGGCAGCAGCAGAAGAAAGTCAGTCTACACAATATGAGTCCCTCCTGATCTGTGGAGCTGCCTTTGTAACTGTACAGCAGAAGGAGAGGGGTTGTTTGTCTGTGTGTTGCATTTCAAAGGTACTTTTCACCCTGGCATCTAAGTGTCCTGTTATAGCTAAAATGTTGTGCATGATGAGCATATGTACATCGAGGAACCTGAGATAGCACTTTTAGGCCCTGATCCTGCAAACACATACATATAGGTGCTTAACTTTAAGCATGCGAGTAGTACCATTGACTTCAGTTGAACTTCTCATATGTTTAAAACTATGCACATATGGGTTTCCAGGATTGGGGCCTTAATTAGCCTTTACAGTGGAGTTGCATCTTACGCGCGGGTTAGGTTCTAAAGTCAGCGCGTAAGGCGAAAATCGCGTATAGTCAAAATTACCCTTGAAAATCCCTTAAATCGCCCATAAAGTACAGTATACACTCCACCACATTCAGATTGGGATCAGCATCCATAGCGCTACGTATCCGTGAGAACGTAAGCCTCGTGCGCGTGGCCTTGAAACAGCGAATCATGCCTTGGTTGAGAGGTTGGAGGATGGAGGTGGTATTTGTGGGGGAGAAAGACGACTTCAATGTTGTTATGCGCAAACCAGAGTGCCGCAGGGTGGCCAGGAGCATTGTCTATGATTAGCAACACTTTAAAGTCAAGTCGTTTCTCTTCGAGGTACTGCTTGACCTCCGGAATGAAACACTTGTGGAACCAATCCAGAAATAATGCTGCAGTCACCCAAGCCTTTGTATTTGATTGCCAGAACACAGGCAGGAGATTTTTGTTCTTGCCTTTTGTTCTTGCCTTTTAGGGCATGGGGATTTGCAGCCCTGTAGAGCAAGCTCGGCTTTATTAAATGCCCAGCCGCATTGCCACAAAACAACACAGTCACACGGTCTTTAGCTGCTTTGAAGCCAGGGGCTTGTCTTTCTGATTTTGAAGTGTAAGTGTGGTTGGGCATTTTTTTCCAGACGAGCCCAGTCTTGTCAGCATTAAAAACTTGTTCCGGAAGATAGCCCTTTTCGTCTATGATTTTTTTTATTGTTCGGGGTAGGCTTTTGCTGCTTCTCCATTGGCAAATGCAGCTTCACCAGTAGTCTACACGTTTTTGAGGTTGAAGCGGTTCCTAAAACTGTTAAGCCAACCTTGGCTGGCTTTGAATTCCTTCTCATCAGAAGGCTGTCCCTCTTTGGCGGGAGGTTTGAACAGCACGTAGAGGCTAAGAGCCTTTTCTTGCAATGTGTTGCCATCGATAGGCACACATTTACGGTTCATGTCTTCCAGCCATAAGTTTAATGCCTTTTCAGTCTTCACTAAAGTCTTATCGTGCATCTGGCTCATCACTTTAGCAGTTATTGGAGTACTTGATGCCACGGCTTGACGAATTTCTGTCTCTCGAATCTTGATGGCATTCATTGTGGCCATATTCGTTGCGGCCATATTTACGTGCCACGTTGGAGACCGACATACCATCTCTCCATAAGTCCAACACAGCGAGTTTTTCCTCCAGTGTTGGAACAGATCGCTGTTTCTTCAGTTGAGCACCAGATGAAGTAGTTGGCTTGCGTTTAGGGGACATGTTGTACGAAAAATACGTACAGTATCTTTAAACACTAGAATCACACTCAGCGCGGCGAGATGCTCACACTATGAGAGGCACGTGGGAACTGAGACCGACTGAGGGAACAGCAGATTCACGTCTCCCATCTCACGCTCACTCCGGGGCATATGCTTATTGAGTGGAATGGTTGGCAGAATCGGCCGCACTATTTACAGGTATCTTGTTTTTCTTTTTTTTTGCTGAGCGCATATAGTTGAAGTCACGTAAGTTAGATACGCGTATGATGCGACTCACCTGTATATTGGAGAATGGTGCAAAAAGGAAGATCAAGAACCAAAATCTGGTTGCCCTGCTCACACAGTGGCCTTCCTGAAGATAAACTGGATTTTGCCCTATATCTGAAGTGTAGCGAGCATGAGCACTAAAAGAAAAGTAAAATGACCTTCAGTAAATTAGGAAAAGAGAGTTACTAACCATAGAATAAAAGTGATGGTGCAAAGGAACAGCCACAGCCCCTTTCCCACAAGCATCCTCCTTACTGATGATCCTAATAGCCCATTACAGGAACATTTCCTCAGTATGCCTTTCTGGGGGATGGGCCCTTTAATTGGACAGAGAGAAGGTGCTGAAGCTCTGGTAGGGTCATTATGCAATTTGTTGCTTTTTATTGCTTTCTTCTCAGCAGTACGTATCCTTAATTCCTGCTATGTTTTCCTTTTCTTAGGGCTTCTCTTCATTACTGGGGTAAGTCGACCTAAGTTTCGCTACTCCAGCTACATGAATAACATAGCTGGAGTTGACGTAGTTTAGGTCGATTTACCCCCGTGTCTTCACTGTGCTGCGTCGATGAGGGACACTCTCCAGTGAACTTACCTTACTCTTCTCAGGGAGCTGGAGTACCGGAGTTGACCTGAGAATGATCTGCTGTTGATTTAGTGGGTCTTCACTGGACTCACTAAATCGACACCTGCTGCATCGATTGCAGCAGCGTCAATCTGACTTTAAACTCAAAGAAACAGAACAAAAGAAACAGTCAGGGTTATGGGCCTTTAAAAATTTGGTTAGTGCCATATGAATATCCACACAATAGAGTCCAGCTTCAAGTCCTTAATTTTCACTGAGAACTTAATAAAATAAACATCTCTTGGGTGTAACCACTTTAGGGTGTTCTATCTTGTGGCCTGCCATGGGTAACAGTGAATGCTGGGAAGCCTAAAATTCTAGAGTATGGGTTTCTAGTCATGGCAAGTCATGAAGGATTTGATTTTCAGACTTGTCAATGGCCTAATTTTGAATGTTGCTGCTCCTGGATGTTGGTGTAGTATGACTTGAAAGACCTGTTCCCCCGCCCCACATCCTTATTTTAGAAAAAAAGGAAAAAATGTTGTGGGACAATATTTATACTTTTTAAATGGTGACTGTTTGAAAACTGTGACACACTTGCAGGGTGGATTTGATTTAAATCAAATTGATTTAAATCATGATTTAAATCACTAGTCAGGAAGACTTGATTTAATCATGGATTTCTACATAAAAGTGCATTCTTGTTGGTTGTTATAACCTTAATACATATTCACAACTCAGAGATAGATGTAGGTTTCATGTTTAGAAGGTTCACACTATACATTTTTAAAGTGATTTGTTTTGAAAACTTTTCAGATTAGTTTTACAGCTATCTCAGAAAATGAATGAGTGTTTGGTTATTTCATTTACAAAAGATAATTGAAGCAGATATTTATGAAGTCATTGGGAGATGAACTATCTCCAATTCAACAGGTTAATCATTAATATTTGGAGGATTTTCTTGCCATGCTGTATGAGGAGGTGAACATCACTAGACAGACATTTAAATTGTTTTATTTAACTAAAACAACAACGTTATGTATTCTGGATTTTTTTCTTCAACAGCAAACATAATATTTTAACAAAACAAGCATATGAATTTTTGAATTTAGTTAAACATTCACGTTTTTTAAAACCAGGTTTGTTTTTGTTAAAATTGTTTTTAACTGAAGTAGTTAAAAGAAATATTTTAAAAAAACAAAAACAAAAATTAAATTGACTGTGTCAGCCAGGTCAACATGAGAAACTTAAAATATTGGCTTCTGCAGCTAACTCAGTCATCTTCACCTTCATTTTCCTGTTTGTTCATAATCTGGAAAAGAAAAACAAGCTTTCCTGCTTTTTCAGGTCCCAAACGATTTCTCAGTTTGGAATGAATTAGTCCAAAGGAAGAAAATATTCTTTTTACACCGGCAGGAGAACCTACTGCTTTTAAAAGTGAGGTTATCACTTCAACAGTCTCTGAATCCAAGCGCTTAAGTGACTTCCACCAGTTCACTGGTATGACTTTCTCTAAGACATCATCAGCAAACATATATTTCTTGAATGGTTCACCCTTAGCTCTGAAGTTTATTATAGTTGGCATTATGGAGGGATGATTGCTGGATGTCCATGTCATAGCCAACTCCTCTTCTTCAGAAGTTAAGGTTTGACCCTGGTACTGAGTAATGAGAATATTTTCAAGAAAATGAGCTGGAGATAGTGCTTGTCCCATTCGTTTTTTTAATGCTTGTACTTTATCTCTGTCATTGGATATTTCTCTTTTTAAGATCTCACTCAGTTCCTTACAAATTTCAACAGCGTCAGCAGTAAAACAGCTATTTCCCTGCCTTTTGTTTAAGGCTACAGAAATAGGCTTCGGCTACTCAGCATGTGTTCAGCATTTCTCTTCAGCCCAATGCAGAGAACTTTGGCTGTGACATTGCCATCTATTTTTTCACAGTTCTGTTCACAAACTGTCATCAGATTAGGCCAGTTCTTGATACAGTGCTCAAAACAGTCCACTACTGAGTTCCATCGCACGTCTTCTGGGAGAGCTAGCTTGGTTCCTCTCACTTTTTTCAGAGCAGCTACTGCAAAGTGGTTGTTAGGGAAGTATTTTGCAATTTCAACAACATTAGCCTTTACTTCTGGAACACTGAAGTCTTTGGCTAGGAAGTGCATCAAATGAGCACTGCAACCGTATGTTATTAGCTTGGGACTCTCTTCTAAATTTCTTCTCATCTTCAGTACATTTGCAGCATTGCTCCTGGCATTGGCCACTGTCAGAGGACAGGATACTGGGCTGGATGGACCTTTGATCTGACCCAGTATTGTTGTTCTTATATAGTTACAGGAGAGCAAATATGACATTAATATTAAAATAAATGGATGTGGTAAGAAAGCATCCATCACTGAAAACAAGCGGATAATGCCATTAATACCATGGGGGGGTGTCAATGCAGGGACAGAAGGAAAGAAAAAACCCAGTGAGTGATAGCAATAGAAACAGTAGGTGCTCAGCACATGGCAGGATCAGCTTCTAGAGCTATTCCACCACTTCCTCCAGCTTCAAATCCTAGCTACACCAGGGGCTTCTCACTTCTTTGCCAGAGTTGGCCTTGGAGGTATAAAAGCTCGATAAAAGGTGCTAGGTTTGGCCTCCAAAACTGGAAGAGTTTTATCAGACATTTTCACCGGCGGAATGAAAATGATGGGATTTCCTGTCCTTGAAGATGCCGTCAGAATCACAAATCCCTCCCCTGGCTCATTGGTAGAAGGGAGATTACTGATGCTGACTGACATGCGAGTGTGGGAAGTCAGAGTCCTGGCAATCTATCTGCCTGCATGTCGTTAAAAGTGTAAGGCCTGATCCTGTGATGTGCAGAGCAGCTCCTGAGAGATGTTGAGGAGCCTTCACTCCTATTGTGGCCCCATTGCTCAGCACTCTGCAGGACTTGGTCCCTGGGTATATAGCAGTGCAAGTGGACAGCCAATATATTATATGAAAGGTGACAGAAGGAAGTGATTATTTATTTATGTATTTTATTTATTTATTTATTTATTTTAGGTGGCATCGTTGCATCTTGAAATTACAATTTTCCTTGGTACTCCATGTGGGCTGCTTGTTTCCTGCACGTCTAAGGTAGGACATGTCCTAAGATCACTTACACACATAAGTCTGATCTTGCAGTAGTTCTGTAACTGCCATTGCTCTCCCTCTGTGCCTGATCCCCTGAGGATATGAGCCTATTGCAGGCTCAGATAGTGGTGTATGACTCTTCAGGTCAAGCTGTGGCAGCTCATGCTTTTAGCTTTAGAGGTCCTTGGTTCAATGCCAGAATAGCATCTGTCACTCTTGGGCAAAACTCCTACTGAGAGCAACAGGAATTTTGCCTGAGTAAGGAAATGGCCCCTCTAATATTTATTCACCACTTCTCCCACTCCTCAAGAAGCATAGTCAAACTGGTTTCTGTCAGAGCACTTCTCTTCTGCCTTCTCACAGATTTTATAGTCTCATGGGAACGTAGGTTCATTAATTAGATGGGAATCCAAGACACCAAAACCAAGTGGTTTTGTGGTTAGGGACTATTTAGAAAAGCTGGACGTGCACAAGTCCATGGGGCCGGACAAGTTGCATCCGAGAGTGCTGAAGGAATTGGCGGCTGTGATTGCAGAGCCATTGGCCATTATCTTTGAAAACTCGTGGCGAACCGGGGAAGTCCCGGATGACTGGAAAAAGGCTAATGTAGTGCCAATCTTTAAAAAAGGGAAGAAGGAGGATCCTGGGAACTACAGGCCAGTCAGCCTCACCTCAGTCCCTGGAAAAATCATGGAGCAGGTCCTCAAAGAATCAATCCTGAAGCACTTGCATGAGAGGAAAGTGATCAGGAACAGCCAGCATGGATTCACCAAGGGAAGGTCATGCCTGACTAATCTAATCACCTTTTATGATGAGATTACTGGTTCTGTGGATGAAGGAGTTAAGCAAGTTAAGGAAGTATGGGCTGGATGAATGCACTATAAGGTGGGTAGAAAGCTGGCTAGATTGTCGGGCTCAACGGGTAGTGATCAATGGCTCCATGTCTAGTTGGCAGCCGGTATCAAGTGGAGTGCCCCAAGGGTTGGTCCTGGGGCCGGTTTTGTTCAATATCTTCATAAATGATCTGGAGGATGGTGTGGATTGCACTCTCAGCAAATTTGCGGATGATACTAAACTGGGAGGAGTGGTAGATACGCTGGAGGGGAGGGATAGGATACAGAAGGACCTAGACAAATTGGAGGATTGGGCCAAAAGAAATCTGATGAGGTTCAATAAGGATAAGTGCAGGGTCCTGCACTTAGGATGGAAGAACCCAATGCACAGCTACAGACTAGGGACCGAATGGCTAGGCAGCAGTTCTGCGGAAAAGGACCTAGGGGTGACAGTGGACGAGAAGCTGGATATGAGTCAGCAGTGTGCCCTTGTTGCCAAGAAGGCCAATGGCATTTTGGGATGTATAAGTAGGGGCATAGCGAGCAGATCGAGGGAGGTGATCGTTCTCCTCTATTCGACATTGGTGAGGCCTCATCTGGAGTACTGTGTCCAGTTTTGGGCCCCACACTTCAAGAAGGATGTGGATAAATTGGAGAGAGTCCAGCGAAGGGCAACAAAAATGATTAGGGGTCTAGAACACATGACTTATGAGGAGAGGCTGAGGGAGCTGGGATTGTTTAGCCTGCAGAAGAGAAGAATGAGGGGGGATTTGATAGCTGCTTTCAACTACCTGAAAGGGGGTTCCAAAGAGGATGGCTCTAGACTGTTCTCAATGGTAGCAGATGACAGAACGAGGAGTAATGGTCTCAAGTTGCAGTGGGGGAGGTTTAGATTGGATATTAGGAAAAACTTTTTCACTAAGAGGGTGGTGAAACACTGGAATGTGTTACCTAGGGAGGTGGTAGAATCTCCTTCCTTAGAGATTTTTAAGGTCAGGCTTGACAAAGCCCTGGCTGGGATGATTTAACTGGGAATTGGTCCTGCTTCGAGCAGGGGGTTGGACTAGATGACCTTCAGGGGTCCCTTCCAACCCTGATATTCTATGATTCTATGATTCTAAGTGAAACATCATTAATAATTAGGGTGGAAAAATATGAGAATTGATCAGTAAGGCTGCATCACTTTAAAAAGCCACAACGCTCCCTCCTGCTAAAACTGCAGTTTCATACAGAGAGCTGGTAAAATTACCTGTATCTATGCTGGGAGGACGCAAGGTGACAGGGCCATCCTTACCCATACGCAAAGCACGCAGCTGCGTAGGGCACCAGGAAATTTGGGGCACCAAATTTCCTGGTGCCCTGCGCAGGTGCATGCTGCTCCAGCCTGTGCCCCACCTCTTCCCCATGGCCCCTACCCCTTCTCCACCCTAGCCCTGCCTCTTCCCACCACTTCCCCAAAGCCCTGCCTCTTCCTGCCCTTGAGGACTGCAGCAGGGCTGGGCCTGCACTCACCGGCGGCGGGAAGTGCAGGGACCTGGCTGCAGCCACGCCGCCGGTGAGTGCTGGGGGGTGGTTTCCCCCTGCCCCCGAAGCCAGCCCTTCCAACCCGGCGGAGGCCTGGGACCCCCACCCCACTCCTTGGGGGGGCTGCATAGGGCTCCAGAATAGCTAGGGACAGCCCTGCAAGGTGATATTTTTACATATATGTTATGTTAGAGGCTAAAACAATCCACAAAACAAAATGCATTTATAGACAACTGGGAAAATACTGAGTGTGTGTGTATATATTGTTATGAGCTGGGGGAAACCTTTTTAGAGTTAAAACCTTGTTCAAACTGATGTGGGCATGAGCCCTTTCTTTAAGATATTTGTAAGAGACAGTTAAGGGGCCACACCTCAAAGCCTCATAGAGTTTGCCCAGAAACTAGCACCATGTGGGTGGAGGGTTCAACTAGGTGTTGGCCAGATGTGTGTATGTATGGCCAGGTCCATACCCCTGAGCGATATAGTTATACCGACCTAACCCCCAGTGTAGACAGTGCTAATGTCTCACAGGAGGGCTTCTCCCATTGACCAGGGGCGCGATTTCAGATTTTGGGGGAGGCAGGTGCGAACTTTAACCGTGATTCCAGGGTCTACTTAGGCAGCTGAAAACTCTAGGGGTATTTTGCAGATAATAACTTAGAAATTAGCTGATAAGAGCACTGTATCTAACGCCTATATAAAAAAAGAGAATTAAATAAATATTAGATGCACTCAGCTCTAATACTAACATGTTCTCACATCTTGTGTCAAGTCACTTAAGGGACACTGGTTAGGTTTAAAATTGTAATGTATATTCTTTGTTACTAACTCTTGGATACAGCGATTGAAACAATTGTAGAAAAATCTAGATTACGTTCTATCATTTTTTTGCAGTTCACCATGCTTGGAATAGATGATTTAACTTTGGAAACATCCGACTAGGGCAAGGCCCTATGAGTTTATACTGCACCTGCCAGGGGATCTAGGGGTATTACTTCACTACAAATAAGAGACTAGAAACTAACTTTAAACAGGAGTGAAACTGACACTTGACAGTCACTTTAATAGTATTCGCAAAAAGAAAAGGAGTACTTGTGGCACCTTAGAGACTAACCAATTTATTTGAGCATGAGCTTTCGTGAGCTACAGCTCACTTCATCAGAGTATTCGCAAAAAGAAAAGGAGTACTTGTGGCACCTTAGAGACTAACCAATTTATTTGAGCATGAGCTTTCGTGAGCTACAGCTCACTTCATCAGATGTTTCTAAAAACATCTGATGAAGTGAGCTGTAGCTCACGAAAGCTCATGCTCAAATAAATTGGTTAGTCTCTAAGGTGCCACAAGTACTCCTTTTCTTTTTGCGAATACAGACTAACACGGCTGTTCCTCTGAAACCTGTCTTTAATAGTATTGTCAACCCCAAATGTTCAAAAATCATGAATCAGGCTTACCAAAAATCATGAGATTGTCTTTAAAATAATGAGGTTATGTAAAAATAATAGATTTGGTGTTCTTTTTATTTGCCTTCTGCTTTTTGAGCCTTTAGGATGCACTGGGGTCACATTTTGAAGCTTTCTCCACAGCCATGAGGGCTAGACACTTCATTTTCCTTTCAGAATGAAGGATGAAATCATCACATATCCACTTGACTCCAGGAGCTGGGACTTTAAGGAAAACAATTATCATGAGACTCATGACAAAATCGTGAGAGTTGGCAACACCGCTTTCACTTCTGTTTAAAGGCTAGTTACTTTCCAGAAGGCTCTTAAACACAACACACTACAGTGATTGAGTTGCAGTTCTCATAGGAGAATATTTAAAACCAAACACCAAGAAAATTCCACATTTTAAAGTTGAGAAAAAATCTGAGACTTCTGAGGTATATCAGGGCCACTGCAGGCAAGAAAGGAAAATAAAAAGGCACGGGAGCTTTGGGCAGCTCTTCCTCTAGAAAGAAAGTTGGAGAGTCAAATCTTCTAGTCCTTAACCCAGTAAAACTTCTGTTGCCATCAGCGCCTCCCCTCATAGATATTAATATGTGCTTAATAACTATACTCTTCATATTTAAATATCTGAGCCATCTTATCCAGGGCTACATGTTTTATACACACTGGCTCAGGGACTACATTTTCTGGCATATTCTGAGCAAGCGCTGAGCACCACAGATGATGCCCAGTGAATAATACAAATCATGACAATAATCATCAACTTTATGGACTCTGTGGATGCAGTTTCTGTTCTTTGTTCTGGAATTGGCTTGGATACAGCTGAAACCCTAAGAATTTGACGCATAAACACATCTGATACTTATATAACACTTTCTCATTCCTTCCTTTTCTCAAACTTGGAACAAAAAATGACAAAACAAAATGGTTTTCAGTTAAAATGTAGAATTGCATAGCAGCCATTGCTCTACAGCCCAGCATGGGGCAAAATCTGCCACCGCTTGGGACTTAAGTGGTCTCTTCTCCTCTGACTCTCATTCTCCATCCTTCCTGACCTCTGTGCTACTTTTCATGCTGTCAGCCAGGATATCCATCCCAACCTCCTGGGACCATTTGCTGGAGTCTCAGAGAACTGGCCACCTTGATTTTGCTCCCATCTGTCAGAGTCGTCTTTTTTTGCAGCCTGCAGCAGAGAAATAGGCTGGTTTGCTGGATAGGGAGCTAGCCCTGAGAGACCTGGCAGTTCTACTCCTTCCCCCACTCCCCGCCACCCCCCCACCCCAATGTACTTTGTGTATGACCTTAGGCCAGTGCCTTAGGGACAGATTTTCAAAGGTTTTTTTAGGCACCCAAAGATGAAGCTAGGCATCTAGTACAGTTTACAAAGCACCTAACGTTCTTGGTGCTTTTGAAAATCCCAGTAGGTGCCTAAATACCTTTGAAAATCTGGCCTTTAGTCTCTTTGTGCCTCAGTGCCCCATCTGTACAATGGGGATAACAGCACTGCTCTACCTCACCAAGGGGCTGTGAGGAGACATAGATTAGATCTTGTGAGGTGCTCAGATACTATGGTGATGGGACCACATAAGTACCACAGTTAGGGTGGGAGCTTCTCTATACCACTACTATCCCTTTCCCTGGTTTTGACCCCTTTTCACCTATGCTCCCAAATCTCCCCCTTTTCTGAATGTAACCTTGGCTTAGAGGGCTTTTCTGAGTCCCATGTGTTCCCTCTAAAGCAACCCTCCACCCCACCCCTTGGGATTCCTATTTTACAGGCTAGACTTCCAGATCCTTAATTTAATCACCAGCCTTTTCTTATCTTAATCACCCTGCCTCTGCTTGTAAAGAAAATACTGACTCCCTGCCCGGGGCACATCTCCTCTGCAGAACTGACATTTCATACTAATGCTGTGCTATAGTTAATAGCTCCACCTGGGAGCTCCACATACAACCTGTACGAAACTCGGGGGTAGGCTCCCACCTCCCCGCTCCCCCTAATTGGTGTCCCTGCCTTTGACATAGCTGCCGCCTCTTGGGGAGGTGGATTAACTATGCCGATTGGAGAAGCCGTCCTGTTGGTTTAGTAGCGTCTTCACTAAAGCACTACAGTGGCACAGCTGTAGTGCTGTACATGAAGACAAGCCCTGAGAGAACACATCCAAACTGAGAACAGTTAAGAACAGGGGGAGAGGCAGAGGCTAAAGGCAAGAAAGCCTGGCAGTAGCCATGAACACCGTGTAACCCTTGGAAAAGCTAAAGAGTGAACTTTTGGGTCTGGTGTTGTCTAAAGAGGCTTGGGACTGTAAGATAAGAAATTGCTCCTTTCGTTGTTGGTTCCTCCTGCATTCAGAGACATAGAATTTTCTATATCTTTGTAAATAAACAAAACTATATCAAAGAAATACCTATCACCGGTGTCTACTCCCAACTGGATCATCCCAGGGCCCTGAAATTTGATTAACTGCTCAGATCAAAAAGGAGCAACGAGCTATTAGGTACATGTTATTTCCAAGTAGAGCCAGAGTGCTGGCTGTTGAAAGGGTTTGGCAGCTCACTCTTCCAGTCTGGGAGTTTTTATTGTTTTACAGTGATTGTTTACGCTGTGATGGATTTCTCCTCAGGTGCAATTTTTAGGCACGTACAGACCCTAGTTAACAGGAACATTGAACCAAACCAGAACTATCATCCAATGTCTTAAAAAAAATAATAGAGCTTTGCTGCTTGGATTTCAGAGAAATGATTCTTTAAATAAACCAAGGGAAACACCAGGGACTGCATACAAATAGTCTTTTAGAGCCTGATCCAAAGCCACTGAAGTAATTGGAATGACTCATTTATTTCAGTGGGTTTTGGATCCAATCCTTACTGCATGCTATGGTGTTACTAATTCAATGTAAGAATAGTTCTTATTAGGCAGGAGGCAGCATCCCACTGCGATGCTGGCAGACCAGGTCCCAGCTTATGCAAAAGTTCCTAGGCTTCACTGAACACTTACAGATGCATAGATGGAAATGAGTTAGGCTTACCTGTGTGTTAGCATTAACAGAATAGATATTACAGTGATAACAATTTGTTTGGTTTGCTTTATGGAATACTTGCAGGATGCTGCCTGTATTAATCCTATTTATAATCTCTGTATCCCAAATTATAACATAGTGTACCCCAAGAGGCGTGATCTCCTGGACATCAGGAAGGACTATTGAATCCAAATGGGCCATTGTAGAACAAAGACTTTGTCGATTGTTCCCCCTGCACCCATGAAGAGGTTACATGCAGGAGTGCTTGTCCCATCAGCTTGGATTCTGGGGTGTGTGTGTGTGGGGGGGGGGGAGGGCAGGGGATAAAATCTTTGACAAGAAGAAACTGGATTTTTTATGCTGTCTGGACTCTGAGGGGCAAAGATTCCTAAACATAAGCAAAAGGTCCCTTTGCTGCTTGGCATGGGTCATCCTTAAAGAACATATAGAGCTGCTTATTATAGAAGCTATTATTATGTTTTAAAATCTAAGACTGTAACTCATTTGTGTGTGTATGTTTCCTGTTTTAACCTTATAAATAACTCCTATTTCTTTTATTAGTTAATAAATCTTTAGTTAGTTTATTAGAGGATTGGCTGCAGGAATTGTCTTTGGTTTGAGATCTGAGTACAATTAACCTGGGGTAAGTGACTGGTTCTTTGGGACTCGGAGTAACCTGAATATTATTGTGATTTTTGGTATAAAGTGACCATCTATCACATAATCCAATTTAACTGGGTAGCAAGATAGACTGGAGTGCCCAAGGGGACTGTCTGTGACTCCATAGTAACACTGTTCTAGTGCTTTAGGAGTTCACACTTTTTACTGGGTTGGTGAAATCTAATTATAGAACATACTTCCAGTTTGGGGGTTCTGCCCTGCCTTTTCACAGCCTTTTCACAGTGAGGTTGACACTGATCGCCGTGAGCCACTCCAGACAGTGTGACACCCAGAATTAAATCTGGCTTCTTTTACTGCCAGGAAAGGGGTTCCATTGACTTCAGGAAGTACTCACCTGAGTAAGGTGAGCAGGGTTTGATGCTGTAGGAGAGGATGGTCTCAGTCAAAAAGCCAAAGGGGGCAATGAACAGCAAGGAGAGGAAAATATGTATTTGCAGGTCATTGTATCCTGTAGTTTCCACAAACTGTCCATTTTACACTGAGATCTGGCATTTCCTAAATGTGTGCTCTTGAAAAAAAATGTTAATACAACTTTGCTGTTTCTCGTTAATCTGTTTGTTCTTTATGGATTGCTGTTAAATGGTGAGATTTTAATCTTGCCAGTCAGCCTAAGAGTGCAATGATCATGATACACAGTTGATTAACTTTTTATCCATCCTGTTACAAAGAAAGTTCATTGTTACGAGAACCACAACGTTTGTTTGGCAGCAAGTCTGTGACTCTGCTTAACCCTTAACCCAGTGTTTTAATGTGATAAAAAAATCTTTACCAGGCCTGCTACCGCATTTTTGCTAGCTCATACTAAATGAGATATTATGGAATTTTAACAATAGACTCTTTTGCATGATCCTAACTGAACAAGCTTGGGTATCAATGTGCCTCTATTTGTACAGGGTCAGATTCTAAAACTCCTAATGGAGAGTGTCAGTGGGGCCACTTGTGGAGTAAAGTGCTAGTCAGCAGGAGCAAAGGCTATCATCTGGCTCAAAATGTTATAGGATCTGATCCTGCAAATGCTCATCGAGTGTCCTGCTTATTACAGTGAGCAGCTCCAGCAGGGCTGTTCGTGATAGTAAGCACTGTATTTCTTAGTAAGGTGACCAGATGTCCCGATATTATCAGCTTTGTCTTACACAGGCAACTGTTACCCCCTCCCCCATCCCAATTTATCTGGTCATCCTACTTGGTAGTAAGTGTTCGCACGATAGGCCCAGAGATTGTCTCGAGAAAATTACCCTAGAATTTACCTGCTACGGTACAGTTGCACCATCTAAGAGAAAATAACTTTAGGTTCCAGATCTGTTGTCAGCAGACCAGTGATTGAAATGCTTTTATGGCAAACAAATTATGAAGTGTCAGATACATTCCCATTCACACCTTGGTATACAGTGTGCAGCTGAGCATGAGGAGGCCTGCAGTAATTCTAAACACTCTCCCAATCTCTCTTTTTAATCTTTGGGCCAGATACTCAACTGCTGTAGGTTGGTGTAGCATAATTGTCTTCAATGGCATGACCCAGATTGACACAAGCTGAAGAAATGGCCCTCTGTTTAAAGCCTGTTATGAGGATTTCTATACTTTAAGGCACCCTTATAAGAGCAGTCATGTGCTGCTCTTTCCGGGGCTGGACATGGAGAGAACGCCTTTTGTTTGCAGTGGCAGCTCTGGGAAATGTAGTTTGAGTTCTATCTGGTAGGTAAAAAAATGGATTAGAAAATGTTTGCAGAAAGGAGTCTTTTGGGACAAAACCTAAGTCATTATGTAGTAGGCATGAAGACATTATTTGCACCTTTCCAGCAAGTTGGGAAACATGTCTGTCTCTCTGTAAAAGATCGTTGGATGCCATAATGTGGCATTTGCAATAGTAGAACAGGGAAGTAGTTACTACTGCTGTATTGTGCCTATTTTGCTTTATCTGATTGGCTTTGGCAGCAAAGTGGGTGGTGGCTCAGGGTTTAAAATCTACAGAAAAACCCAAACTGGGCACAAGTTATATATGTGATGGCAAGAGTAATAGTAGTGTTCCTTTGGCACTGTACTGGGAATGTCCTCAATGGTAACACTGGAGCTTGGCCTCTGTGCTGTATCGTATCTGGATTTGTTAGCTTGTGTAATAAAACTGTGATTCTATATCACTAGCTTACATAAACTAAATGTAGCTGAAATTCCTGACATCAGCAAATGCAGTGCAGCCCATTACTGCAAAAACAGTAAACAATCTCCCAGCCTTTGTTTGGAGAGACAGTAAGCTAATGGAACTGCGCTTTCTCATTGCTCTGGACTTGACAATACATTTGTTCAGTCGAGAATAAACTTTTGCTTTTATTAGTGTGTTTGTGAGCTCTGTGTGATGTATATGGCTGTGCTGTTCTTTTGCAAAATGTGGGAGAAATGGTTCAATAATAGTCCACTATGGAATTTCTTGCATGTCCACTGAAGCATCTGCTGTCAGAGACAGGCTGCTGGGTTAGACAGATCAGTGCCCTGATCTGGTAAGGCAATTCTTATGTACTATGTAGAAAGAAAAAAATATTCCAATCTCATCTATATGGTGTAAATGTGAAACAAACCCGTGGTAGCCAGTGGAGTTAGACTAATGTGAGATCAGAATCAACCATGAGATATTTATTCAGATGGTAACATTGTTTACCTGTCTCTTGCAAACCATGAATAGTGCAAAAGGCATTAAAGCCCTGATTTTAATTTCAGATGCAAAATGTATGATGAAATCCACCGAGGGAGCTTATGCACGTATGCATAGAGTACAGTTTTTTGGTGCTACTGTACTTTGCAATCTGTGCCAGACATCTATACAGCCAGACAGTAAACAATGTCAATGCTACCTTAGCACAGGGTTTACCTCAGAGTCGGAAGTACAGCTTGCGTTTAAAACACAAAGGTCAGTAGGCCACCAAGAGTAATGCTTCAGGGGCACCTGTGAGGTATGTACTGGGCCTGATTCTGATGTCAAATGCAGTGGATGAAATCCTGGCTCCACTGAAGTCAGAGGGAGTTTTGCAATTGTTCAGTACTTCACCCTTTGTTTTTAAAGCCGTTTAACTCCATTGATTTCAGTGGCATTGCTCCTGATTTACACAGTAAGTGAAAGGTGAATCAGACCCACTGTCAGTGGTGACTGTGTAATTTCATATTTGTCGTTTTATCCAGAATACCATTTCCCCTGATTTTCAAACATTTAAAATGTTTCTGTTTCTGTTTAATCTGTGTAAGGATACCCTTAAAATAAAATCTCCATACCCGATCCCCAGGCACAAAGATTCCATTGCATAAGAAAATAGGAGTATCTTATTCTTGCAGGTGTTAACTAACAGTAGTCAATATGTCCGTAGAAAAAGAAGGAAAAATCTGCAGAAATATCTCTTCAGTTTAACTTCTCAGTTTAATGTGGAAAAATATAAAATCTTAAGAGTTATTTCCCTTTTCTGCAGGGGGAAAAGTGCCATCGCGTGCAAAAATTATGGAGCCAAATTCAGTCTCAGTTACAACCTCATTACCATCAACCTCATTACTATCAACTGTGTTGCACAGGTGTAAATGAGGGCAGAATTTGGGCCATTCATCTTATTCATTTTAGCTAAACTATATATCCACTTAATATTATTAATTAGATCATTATTAATTAGATCATAGGACTTAAAAAACCCATCAGTCTGCACACGAATGGGTTTTATTCCTAGAAATTTGAAGGAGTTGTTATGTTTAGTAACAGCACCAAGAGATGTTATTAAAGACCCTCCCCCACAAAAATACAATTGCCCTTTCATCCACAGATGATAATAACAAAATGTTTTCTGGGGAGAAGCCCATGCAACCCCACTGTATTTCTGATCAAGAAGTAATACTAGTTGTTGCTATAGAGTAGACTGATCTTGTGAATTCCTGTCCGGCAAGTCAATGATACAAATCTTTGAGTAAATTAAAGGCATAGTAGGAAGGAGAGGAGAGAAAGAGAAGAGGATAATCTTGTCCTCTTCTTTCATGTTTTTGCCCTGTTCCTTGCTGATGTTTCCTTTCAGTAATAAGTTCATCCTCCCACGGGTGTCCAGTAACCAGTAAGGACCCAATCCTGCAAACGCTTCTGCACAAGTAATCTTACACTGACTTCAAGGGGACTACTCATGAATAAAAGTCTGTATATACTTATGTGTTTGCAAGCTCAATTAATACTAACTGCTCACTCCCCTTTCAAACCAGTCACAATGTGATTTTGGGTTACAGAATATCGGCAAACAATGCTTTGCTAAAATGTTTATGGAAGTCCTAACATAAACACGCTACAGGTTTTGAGGTCACATTTCTCCTTCAAAAACAAATTTGAATCAAACACTAAGCATGAGAAGTTCCACTTTGGTTGCATAATTCTTTGTAAACTTTAAATTTGAGAAGGCTGAAGGAATGGGTCCTCTCTGGCAGAAGTGAATCAACACTTTTATTGAAAAAAGATTGTCCAAAAAATTATCTTGTTGGCAAAGGGAAATCAAGTATTAAACTTACTTCAGAGGCCAAGACTGCTGAAATATAAGTATATTGGCTTATTTTGTTTTCTGTAGAGATTTTGAAGTCATTTTAAAATGGTTCATT